TTAGAACACCGCAGTGCAGCCCAGCACACACATCGAAACAAGAAGCAGCAATAAGGGACTGTGCACCAATGCAGGACTGCTGCTGCTGTCACTTAACCGAGCAGCAATCGTACGCAAGACATCCTTTGAGTGGACAGTACCTGACGGAGTAGTTACTGCTCCATCCACATTTCCTGCTGTATGTGACCCCTCAGTTGTCTTAGGCCCTTCGGTGGTCACCTCGGGCACTTGGGGCACGTCGCGTACTTCGGGAACTTTGGGTTCTTCGCGGGCTTCAGTCATTTCAGGCTTTTTTGTGGTCACCTCGGTCACTTCGGGCACGTCGGGTGATTCGTTCCCTTCGGGCAGTTTGGTCACTTCCTCAGGAGTTCGATTATCTCTTACATCTTGCGAATCATCCATTGGTACCGTTGCCTTGGTTGGAGAACTTATTTGAAAGAGAGCTTTGACCCAATGTATACGATTTTCAAGCTTTCTCATTTTGTTTTCCGCACTTACAGCTTGCGAATTCGCCTCCATCTCAGACCCAAGAGCCTCTTGACCGGCGTAAAGGGCACGCTTCATGAGTTTCTTTGCCTTTTCCTGTTTCCTCTTGCTCTTTCGAGCGACCATCCATTGTTTGGTCATGCTGACGTTTTGCTCTTCGGCAGCAGCAATTGCAATTAAATATCTTTTCAACGCAGGCTTATGAGCCCATATCAAACTGTTCAATTTGTCAAAGGCATCATAACAAGAATTGCCCAACTCCCTTAGCGTGGACGCTGATCTTCTCAGCTTGCCAACAGCATCCCTGACCTTTTGCACTGCATCTGTAGCATTCTTTAGCAACCCTTCAGTTAGATTCCCAGCGAGATCGCTTTCATTCAGAGTGCCCGCTCTTTTCTTCTTTATCACGGTTTCAATCTGTTGGCACATATTATTGGCTTCCTCTGCAGCAGATTTGGCAAGTTCAGTATTACTACTCAATAATGTCCTTTCACGCCTCAATTTAAACAAGTTAATAAATGTGCTATTACGTGTGGCATTAATATGACTTTCAATATATCTTAATCTTTTTTCCTTCCTTAATACAACGTCTTTTGCAGATTCCTCCACACTTTGCGCA